GGAGCCAATCCAGCATTTCTTTGAGGACCTACCTTTCTTTCTGAGAGGTCAGCAGACGTCTATTCCAACTAAAAGGGAACATCAGGATCTCCTAGAGGGCTGTTGTACAAGAGGGCCCCACGCAGACCTACCAAATTAAAATGGGGGGTGGGGAGATGGGAACCTACAGTTACAAGCTCCTCAGATGATTCTAATTATCAGTTGGGCTTGAAAGGCATTGGTTGAAAGGATTCCTGGACTCACTCTGGGCCTCAGTTTCCTCGTCTGTAGAATGGCACTGTATTCATTCCTCAGGGTATAAATAGATGGCACATTTTTAAAACCTATTCTTTGAAAGCCTACACAATACATTGTAGTGTTAGTATTTCCATTTCCAAAAGCAGTTTCATTTGCAAAAAGACTCCCCACTGAGTTTTTTGTTCTCCCTCCAATAATGCGATCAAAATCCTACCTGAAGCCCTGGGCTGTCAATAGCTTGTCATAACCCTCCTAGGAAACCGGGTGCACTTACCGTCCTGCTATTTTGACAAGGTTGTTTGTTGTTTTTCAAGTAAAAAAGCCACAGAAGTCCTGGGAACACTTTTGCTGGCTCCATTGTCCCCACCTCCTACCACACCCCTCCACCCTCTCCCCACCGCCCTGACCCACTGGCTCCTCCCGCCACCTCCACTACCCTCAGTGAGAGGTTTCCAAAGAACTGCGAAGGTGCCCAAGCTGAGCCTTGCAGGCAAGCTGGCTGGCCTTCAGGGGTTCCCCTGCTGGCTTCTAGGGTTCCCACCCCAAGATCTGGTTTAACTTCCCAAACTCGACTGGGGCGACTTGCCAGACTGAGGCCCTGGGAATCGGTGTGCTGGACAAAACCCGCCTGAACAGGGAGAGGCAGGAGGCCAGGAATGAGTGCTCATTGACTTTCAATTGCAGGCTGTGGCAGGTCCCATGGGAATAGAGCAGGGCCCGGGAAGGGGCAGTGTCTGTGTGGTCAGAGTTCTGGCCACAGTGCCTGCGACATGGGGCCTGGTTACCAGCTCCAGAGGCCTGAGTCACCCAGGATCCAGGACGTGACACTAGGCCACTCCTGCTCAGAGTTCAGCCAGTCTCCCCACGGTTGTCTTGAGGCCACATCCATACCGCACAGTATGGCTATGTGACCACTGCTCCCTAGAGCACGATTCCCTAGAAGACGTGTGTAAATGCACAGACTCAAAAGGGAAAGATGCCCCCCTGGGCAAAGGAGCAGCCCTATTCCAAGGGAATATAAACTTCAAAAGTATTTTGCCTAGAGTGACCCAGCGCTTGGGTCTGGGGTCTCCTTTAAGATGATAAAGATGTTCTGCAATTAGAGATAGTGGTCATAGTGGTCGCACAACATGGGAAATGCATTGAATGCCACTGAATTGTTCACTTTACAGTTGTTAATTGTGGGGCACCTGGGTGCCTCCGACTTTGGCTCAGATCAAGATCTCACGGCTTATGAGTTTGAGCCCCATGTTGGGCTCCATGCTAACAGCTCAGAGCCTGGAGCTTGCTTTGGATTCTAGGTCTCCCTCTCTCTCCACCCCTCCCCCACTCATTTTCTGTTTCTGTCTCTCTCTCTCTCTCTCTGTCTCAAAAATAAAGAAAAAAAAAAGCTGTGAATTGTGTATGGGAATTTTATGTAAAAAAATTTTTTTAAGTATTTTGAAGGATTTGAAGGTAAAGTACTAATTACTTGAGAAGATTCCCCACATCAGCCCTCTACACAACATCCCCTCTCTCCCCAGCTTCCTCGGGTTGTGCGCTATATTCCAATTGGAGAACTAAATTGGGGCCTTAGAAGCCTCACTCTCCCAGACCCGAGCTGAGGAAGGACGAAAAGGTTCAGATACATCCAAGGCTCTTGGCAGCACTTACCAGAAGGGGGATAGAAAGGTAGCATCCAGGTCTTCTGAAGGCCCACCCCAAACACCAACCTTGGTCTTAGGAATCCAGATATAGGTCTACAATTCTGGGAAAATTCACCTTCTTGCTTCATTCATTCATTCATTCATTCATCTGTTCATCCAAGGAATGTTCACTGAGCCTCGACTACGTGCTGTCCACTGGAAGTCAAGATTAGAACACCATCCTCAAGAAGCTCATAGTCAATAAGAAGAGTAAAGTGGAAATAATTATTAACGGAGATATACACAGGTATAAGGATGACATGAGGAGGGGCACCTAAGGGATAGGAGGGTTGGGATGGACATGCTGGGGAAGGCTTCTTGGCCACAGGGATGCCAGAGCTGGGTCTCCAAAGCTTTGGGCAGGGGCATGTTCAGGCAAGTCTGACCTGCAGCCAGCTTAGGCCCAAGGGGAGTAGTGGGGAGAATGAAGCACACCAAAACACATGGTTTATGGGATCTCTGAGGTCTCTAAAGAGGCCTGGCTTAGAGGCTAGGAGACTGAGCTTCCTCCTCCCCTGGGAGTTACACGTTTTAGGTGTTTCCCACACATCCCCATCTGCTTCAATAGTGAGAGGGGTATGGGGGGTGGTAATGAAGTCTTTGCAGCCCCAGCCAGGTGGAAGGGATCCTACCCTTCACCTCACAGGATGGACCATTGCCTTCACCCTGACTCCACAGAGGGGCTAACAGTTAAGAAATTCCTCTTCTAGGTCCAAAGGTTCTCCTGGCAGACAATGGTATGGGGCTTTGCCCCCTCCTTCACAGGGGTAAAGGGAGTCGGTGAGAAAAGCCATTTGGAGCCTCATCCCCCCCCCCCCCCCCGTTCTTCCTCCTAGGTGATTGTTTATCCTGTAGCCCACCTCCTTCTGCTCTGGGGAAGACCTCCAGGGTCAAGACTGCTGGTCCTTTTTTTTTTTTCATATTTTTAAAAAAACACAGTGAGACAACAACATTAATGGATTTCTTTTGCAAAGAAACAAAATTACTCAGTGCCCATTAACACAGCCTTTCCCATTTGGGAAACACTTTTATTAACAGAATGAGATAGTGAATGAAAAAAGGTGCTTAGCACACTATTTCATGATGGTGTTTTTTGAATATGAATGGTTATTGGTGAACTGATGTCTCCAAGCTGTCTCTGGATCCTTTTGCTTATGAATATCCACTTTTTAAAAAACCTCTAATTTTCTTAGTGTTCCACATTTTTTTCTGGAACATTTCCTCCCCCGCCCCCCTTTTTTCTGCCACAGGGAGAGGGAGAGAGAGAGAGATGAAAAAGAAAAACATCCCAAAACTATCTCCTTCTGTCTCAGGTGTCCCCAGCCAAGTCAGCCTGGAGGGAAGAGGGAATAGTACTCTGACGGATTCATTCCCTAACGTTCTGTCCTGGCGACAAGAAGACACATCCATACGGGTCACCCACTTCAGTAAACGGTGATTTCAAGAGAATGTCATCTACCACCAGCAGCTCTCCAAGCACTTCCCCTAGCCGCCCTGACCCTGGTTAAATGTTCCCAATAAATGACGGGAGCTCAAGAAAGGGCCAGTATTCAGGCCTTAATCTCCCCAGTGGCTAAGAGACTATTCTATTGTGAGGCAGTCTTAACGCCATCTTCTGATCGGACTCCCCTAATTATTTTTTTTCTATAAATTTGTCTCCAGAAACGGTTCCTCCATCTGGAAAGTGGGGGGCGGGGGGAGGTGCAGGGCTTCAATTCCAGTCCTTTCTGGTTCGAGTCTCGGTTTGCCCGAAAGGCCCACGGGTCAGCCTTTTTTTTTTTTTTTTTTTGTAAATTAGGTAGGGTTGGAGATGGCAGGGACCTGACCTCGACAAGTGTCATCTGTCACGCGCAAGCCCGCCCCCGAGGTGAGCCTGCCAGTCGGTTCTGGCTAGGCTCCTGGAGTGGTAGCGTCTGCTGTAAATTTGCTTCCCTCTTCTATCCGGATCCCGGTGTCCCAGATTGATAAACCTTTAAAGACGTAAAGGTCGAGTCCGTCTGAACCTCCTCCCACCCTCGGCAATCATTATTCGTCCCCGAGCACCGCCACCGGGCCAGATTTCCTGTGGCCCCGCCTGAATGACGAAACAGGGGATGGCCATTGCACTCCCGGACTTTTCCGGAGATCTAGTCCTTGGTCCTGATGCAACTCTCCGGTTCTTTTACACAAAGCGCCTTGGAAAGAGGGGCGCTAGGACCCGGCAGACGCCCGGGGACTCTCGAGTACAGCGGGCGGGGGAGACAGCACCGAACCCCGGTAGATTTGTAGGGCCCGCGGAGGGTCCCCGTTCTCAGCCCCAGACCAGGTGCTAGGAACCCGAGCCCAACAAAACTCTTTTGCCACCCTCTCCAAACTCTCTCTTTGGAAGCGACTGGGGGTGGGAACGGACACGATCTAGGGACGAGGATCATATGGGGGAGGGGCACGGACCTCCACCATTAACCCATCCCCAGGAGCTGTAGAGGCAACAGGCGAGTGGGGCTGCAAGGAAGGGAGAGCTCGGTGCCAGCACCTACCCTGCCTGGACCCCACCCCCACATTCTGACCCTATGCAAGGCCAGGTTAGCGTGGGGTACGTGCGCGAGGGCCGGCCGGGTTAACGTCTGCTCCCCGCGCCGCCGTCCCACCGGCATCCACCCGAGCGCTGACTTGTGCCTGTAGTCTCAGGCTCCCAGACGCTGGGGGCAACCGTTTTCCCCGCCCGCCTCCCCCTCAAGTCCCCCTGCCTTTCCCCCCGTGCGGTCACGGCTACCCCCTCCCCCAGCAACAGGACCCTATAATAAACAAGTCGTTCCTTGATCCTCCCCTGCCGCGAGCGCCCTCGGGGACCTTGGCAGCTGCAGCCGCCGCGGATCCCTTCCAGAAAGGGGGCGTGGCCGCGGCGCGAGGTTCTGCTGGGAGCGTTCCGGGGCTCAACGGGGGCGGGGCCAGACCGCTGTCACCGGGCAGGAGAGAACGTTGCGAACGTGCGCCCGGAGCCCATTGGCCGAGGGGAGCCACACTCCCGGGCCTGGATTGGGCTGCGGCGCCGAGGAGGCGTGGCCTCTCCGCTCAAGTCCTTATAGGCCTCTCGGGGCTGGTGCTAGGGACCGCGGCAGGCCAAGGGGGAGGTGCGGGTGTGTGGAAGGGACAGGTCTGGGCAGCGCTCGGGGGTTGGTACCAGTTCGCGCACCCATTCAAGCGGCAGGACGCACTCGTCCTAGCAGTTCTCTCCGACCGAGCTAGCTGGTAAGTGTCCTTTCAGTGTGTGCCGATCCCTGCGTGGGGAGGCCTCAGTCCTGCGGGTCCTGGCGCTCTCAGCCTGGTCCAGCCCCCAGACTGACGCCGGGTCTGTGCCCCTCCTGTCTTACAGCGTTTCCTGCGTTCCCGCATCCAGAGCTCATCTGCAAACGTCCTGGCGTCCGTCCTCATCATGCCTAGCCTTTGGGATCGCTTCTCATCGTCGTCCTCCTCTTCACCGTCGCCCTTGTCCGGAACTCCCACCCCGGATCAGCCGCCGCGCTCAGCCTGGGGGTCGGCGGCCCGGGAAGAGGGTCTCGGCCGCTGCGCGAGCCTGGAGAGCTCGGACTGCGAGTCTCTGGACAGCAGCAACAGTGGCTTTGGGCCGGAGGAAGGTAAGCCGTGGGCGGAGACTGGACGCCACTCTCGGGGCCCGGGAGGTGAAAAAGCGCCGCTGTGGAAGGAGTCAACGCCGCCTTGGCTTCCTATCCCATCAGAACCCTGATTGCGGAGGGTGGCGGGATGGGAGGGCCGAGATTGGAGTAGAGGGTACGAGTGTGGGGCAGAACCTGAGGCACAGAGTGGGAAGGAGTGTTGGTTTCTTAACGAAACAGCACCCCACCCCCACCCCCGCCTTTCGGAGCCGCGCTTACAACCCTCTCTTGTATGCTCTCCCCACCAGACTCGGCATACCTGGATGGGGTGTCCTTGCCCGACTTCGAGCTGCTCAGCGACCCTGAGGATGAGCACTTGTGTGCCAACCTGATGCAGCTGCTGCAGGAGAGCCTGTCCCAGGCGCGGCTGGGCTCGCGGCGCCCAGCGCGCCTGCTGATGCCCAGCCAGCTGGTGAGCCAGGTGGGCAAGGAACTACTGCGCCTGGCCTACAGCGAGCCGTGCGGCCTGCGGGGGGCGCTGCTGGACGTCTGCGTAGAGCAAGGCAAGAGCTGCCACAGCGTCGGCCAGCTGGCCCTCGACCCCAGCCTGGTGCCCACCTTCCAGCTGACCCTCGTGCTGCGCCTGGACTCACGCCTCTGGCCTAAGATCCAGGGGCTGTTCAGCTCTGCCAACTCTCCCTTCGTCCCCGGTTTCAGCCAGTCCCTGACGCTGAGCACCGGCTTCCGAGTCATCAAGAAAAAGCTGTACAGCTCCGAGCAGCTGCTCATCGAGGAGTGTTGAACTTGAGCCTGGGGGGGCGACCGTGCCCCCACGCCAGAGACCACTGAACTTTTGATTTTGAGGTGGACGTTGGCAGGCAGGAGCTGAGGGATTGACGCCTGTCGCCTGTCGTTAGAAAACTGACAAAAGCCACCTGAGGGGAGGAAGGTGGATGTGGGGGGAACATTGTGTTTCCTAGGAAGCTCACTGAGGTGTGGAGGTGGCTCCCACTTGGGGGCATATGCCCCTCAGTACTGTAGCATGAAACAAAGGCTTAGGGGCCAACCAGGCTTCTGGCTGGATGTGTATGTAGCATGTACCTTATTATTTTTATTGTTACTGACAGTTAAGATAACAGTGGTGTGACTGCCAGGTGAGCAGCTGGGCTGCACTGGCCTTTGCAAGGGGTGTGTGCTCCTGGTAGCGGCCCTGGTGGGAGGGGGGAGGTCAAGCGGTTTGTGTATCTCATGGTCTGAAGGGGCCAAATGTGTTCTTTGTTTTTGTATCTTTTGTGTTTTTTTGTTTTTTTTGTTTTGTTTTTTTTTGGTTTTGATCAGAGCTTCACTACTGACCTGTTCTAGGCAGCTACCTTACAGACGCATGAATGTAAGAGTAGGAAGGGGTGGGTGTTGGGATCACTTGGGGATCTTTGACACTTGAAGAAAAAATACACCTGGGAGCTGCGTTTGCCCATCCCCCCCAATGTGTACTGAGGAGTTGAACTGTGAGGGGATGGGGCTGATTGGGGTGGGGGGCTGGAACCCCTCCCCCAGAGGAGTGCCATCTGGGTCTTCCATCTAGAACTGTTTACATGAAGATACTCGCTGTTCATGAATACACTTGATGTTCAAGTATTAAGACCTATGCAATATTTTTTACTTTTCTAATAAAAAAAATGTTTGTTACAACGGTTGAGTCTCATCAGTGCTGTGAGATAAAAGAGGGGGATGGGTTCTGGTGTCAGGCAAGTTTAATCAGACCTGGGTCCACCTGTGTGTTTCTCTGTCCTTTTCCGGGGCTGCCTGCCAGCCTGGTAATGGAGGTATGTGGACTGTGCTGTCTGTGCCAAGAACCCCGGCTCCCTTGGCTCGGTTTCTGGCTGATGCTACCAGGGAAAAGTGCTGGAAAGCCCTAGAAGGTGAGGCATGAGTCAGACCTCCCACTGAGCCAGGCTAAGTAGGGAGAACTCACCTGGTTGCCCTGGGTTAGAAGGCCCAGGTACAGGGTACAGAAGCCCAAAGCACTTCTAGAAACCAGAAGGACAACAAGAGACTCTTTTTTTCCCTCCTACGAAAAGGTCACAATTCCACTTGTTATGCAGTCATGAAAACCACAAAATCGATCTCTGAATGTAAAAGGCTAGGGAGCAGGAGAACCAAGAAATGGAGTTAGTTCCAGCCTCTTCCTAGACCAAGAACCCAGGGCTCTGAAGACTGGCCTGCTACTGGCAGGAGGTGTGGCCCTGGCAGGTGCAGAATGGACAACACACACGGACACACGTGCACACGGCGGGGAAGCAGAAAAGGAGGAGCAGGGAGGGCTTCAGAGCAAGGCGACTCTACAGAATTCCTTGGGTGACTCTCAGACTCATTGCCCTCTCTAGGCCTCAATTTCCTTATCAGTAAGATAGGGGTTGGGCCAGATGAAGGCCAAGGCCCTTCCCACTTCTCCCTCCCCTACACGGTGGGGGTTGGTGGTGTGGGCAGACCTCCCACACCGGCCTTTGGAGGGCTGTTATCTCCCTTGTTTCTCTTCCTGGTCCCAGGCAGGCCTTGTTTGCCTGATGTTAAAACAGTAGTTTTCCCACTTGAGTGTGTGGGGCCCAGGTTAAAACCCAGATGCTGGGCTCTAGTGGAGACGGGCTGAGTGCCCCCGGGGGAGGGCCCCAGGAACCTGCATTTTCAGCACCAGTGATTCTGACAAAGGGTGCTAAACCTTGGGATAGTTTACATCGCAACTCTTGGTAGAACTGAGTGACCCACTCCCCAAAATGAATGAACTTGGGTTAGAACTGGATCTGAAAATGCTGATAACAAATAAGAAGTTGCCCAGAGCAGTTTTAGGAGAGCCCTCACCCTCATTTTCTTAGCACATCCTCCTAATAGCCACCCTGTGAGAGCTGGGTGGGACGGGGGTTAGTAATGTTTCACAGACCAGTAAACACAGGCCCCAGCCCTTGAATGACCATCTTCTGACTGTGGCTGACCTCGTTCACGCTCAGCCCCTCAGGGTGGGAGCTGGGAGTATAGGGTGCTCAGCCTTTGGATGGTGTCTGGGCTCACTTTCCTGGGAATTAAGACCAGCGTCAATGCTCACGGCTGTGTATCCCTCGTCCCAAAGGAGGGGCAAGGGAAACGGCCCCATAGCCAGCTCCAAGAAACAGTCTAGTTGTTATTTTGAGGCAAGCACTGAATGGCACAGTAAACATGAATCCGTCTCCAAGCCCAGGAGGCAGCAACACACTTCTCTTTTCTTCTTCATTTTGTTTTTCTTTTTAATTTTTTTAACGTTTATTTTCTGAGAAAGAGAGAGACACGGAATGCATATGGGGGAGGGGCAGGGAGAGAGGGAGACACAGAATGTGAAGCAGGCTCCAGGCTTTGAGCCGTCAGCGCAGAGCCCGACGTGGGGCATGAGCTGTGACATCGTGACCTGAGCCAAAGTCTGATGCTTAACTGACTGAGCCACCCAGGCGCCCCTCTTTTCTTCTTTTCTTAGGTGGTCAGACTGAGGCCTGGACTCCCAAGAAAGCACAGCTGAGTCGCCATCTCCTTGAAGCCAGACTGGCTTTCCTCATCACAGGGCTTGAAAACTGCCCCCCAGCTGGACAGAAGGGCCCCCAGGTAGGAGCTGGCAGCAGGGAGCTTTGTCTCAGGTATTGGATGGGCTCCTGAAGAGAAGATGGGAAAGACTCCTCGGTTGCTAAGACCGAAAGCTAATAAAGTGTATAGACTTAACAAATAAAATCCAACTTTGGAAAATGCTTCCAGAAATTGTTCTGTTTGGCTTATAAAATTGCTACTGATGACCTTTCTTATTTCTATTTCCCAGTTCATCAGGGTATTACTCTAGAACATACAGCAGCTCCCTATTGTCAGAGAGCACTTTCAAGACCTTTGACCTTGGGCCCTACTTGCCCTATACAGGCTGATGGCCACCACACTGCCTACCTCTCCCGGTCTTTGGTACAGGTCAGTATGGCCTGCTCCCTTCTCTGGCCCCAGATTTTGCTCATTCCAGTGCCCTTCACCAGGGATATCACCCCCCTGTCCTGCCTACAAACCCTCTAACTTCTTTTAAGACCCAGAGCAAGTTTCAGCCCTTTTATGATTCCCCTCTGCCTCCTCCTTCACAATCAGTGTTGAAAACTTAGCAGTTTCCTGACCTCATTTTACGCACTTGCTTCATATCCCCCAGTTCTGTGGGGCTACCCTGGGGTTCCCCTCAGGCCCTGGCTGGCTGACGGCTTGCTCATGCCCCTCTCCCTTGGCTCAGATGACACAAGATTCTCCCACCAGCCTCAGACTCTCAGGCCAAGAGGAGAGAAGGGGAGGGTAGAAACACTTCATTGTTTTATTTTGCCTGCCACCCAGTTTAGAGGAATATTAAAGGCTAAAGTCCTGGAAAGGAAGTAGTGTCCCTAGTGGTTAAGGCCACCGTGCTGTAGTTAATGGAATCTGGATTCGAATCCTGACTCAGACATTTTTCTTCCTTTTTTTTTAGCCAATAATCTTGAGCAAGTCACTTTGAGTTACCACATCTATAAAATGGGGATGCCAGTGAAGAAATATGTGTATAAAGTCATAACTGGGGTCCACCATTGGCAGAGGAAGCCAGTAGTCAGGCAAGAGATGGGGGGCTGACCTGTGGCAGAGCTGGCCACAGAGTAGAGAACACCTTTGACCTCCTTCCGCTCTGGTCCTGCTTTCTTTCAACAACTTTTAAGTCACCATCTTTTTTTTTTTTAATGTTTATTTATTTTTGAGACAGAGAGAGAAGGTGGGGGAGAAAGAGATGGTGAGCAGGGTAGAGGCAGAGAGGGAGACACAGCATCTGAAGCAGGCTCCAGGCTCTGAGCTATCAACACAGAGCCCTACACGGGGCTCGAACCTATGAGTTGTGAGACCATTACCTGAGCTGAAGTTGCACGGTCCACCAATTGAGCCACCCAGGCATCCCTCAAGTCACCATCTTAACAAGAATTGTGTCAACATGTAATCTTAATACAGTCTTGTTAAGAACATCGTTTGGGGAGCACCTGGCTGGCTCAGTCGGTAGAGCATGTGAGTGAGTTCGAGCCCCACATTGGGTGTAGAGATTACTTAAAAATAAAATCTTAAAAAAAGCAAACAAAATATCCCTCCATCCTTTGGGGGTAATGTGCTTAGAAAACCTCACTTCTAAGCTGTATTCTTCTAAGCCAGAAGAATCTTCTAAGGCACATATTAAGCACCCTATATTAGTTTGCTTTACTTCCACCTCATGGTTCAGAAGGAAATGCAAAGGCCCAGAGTGGCTCAGTGAGCAAGGCTGCAGGGCTCAGAAGGGAAGTGTGCCCTCCTTCCTCCCAGGCCTTCCACTCATTCCTCTGAGCCCTCCCTGGCTCCCAGCTCAGGGTGCTCCTGAGCTGGGAGCCAGGGTCTGCTTTAGCTGCTGGCGGGGGCCAAGTACCAGCTGGGCAGCCCCGAGGAAGACTGAGCAAACACAAGGCACAGAAACCAGGCCTAGTTAATGGATTATTACAGGACTCTGTGATTATCCTGAAGGAATCACCAATTAGATAACAGTCTATTAAAACTCAGACACATCCAGGCAGGGGCCAAGCTGACAAGCGTCCGTCTCTACCTCAACCATGGGCAGCTGCATGGAAACGTCTGTGGCCATGTGGTGTTGATGGCTCTGAAAGCAGAAGCTGATGGACTGTCATTTGATTACTGCATTCATTCATTCATTCATTCAGCCTGCATATAATTAAGTGGCTCTGTGGGACTGCAAGAGAAAGCTACAATAAGTGGGAACCCCTAAGACGCAGACATCAAAATTCCCCCCTGAGCTCTCTCTCACACAGACACACACACACACACACACACACACACACACACACACACATTTACAAGAAAACCGTGGGGCATAAGGAGAAGAGAAAAATGGGCATACACTCAATTTTTTCTATCCCTAACATCCCAGGAAAAAATACCCAGCAATACAGAATGATTAAAAGTGATTAAAGAAACTAATTAAACTATATACTTAAAATTGGTGAATTTTATTGAACGTAAATTATACCTTAATACCTAAATTTAAAATGTGTGTGTGTGTGTGTGTGTACACAAAAATTAACTCAAAATGGATCATAGACCTAAATGGAAGAGCTAAACTATGAAGAAAACTTAGAAGAAAATATAGGTATAAGTCTTCATCATCTTGGATTAGGCAATAATTTCTTAGGTAAGACAAAAAGTGCAAGTGATAGAAAAGAAGGTCAGCAAGTTGGGCTTTATTAACATTACAAATGTTTGTGCTTCAGGGGCTCCCGGGTGGCTCAGTCAGTTGGGCCTCCAACTCTTGATTTCAGCTCAGGTCATGATCCCACATGATCCGTGTGGAGCTCTGTGTCAGGCACCGCACCAGGAACCACACTGATTGTGGAATCTGCTTAAGATTCTCTCCCCTACCCTGCTTGTGCTCTTTCTCTCTAGAATAAAAATAATTAAAATTGAAAAAACATTTTTTTAATTAAAAGAAAATTAAAAAAAAACTTTTGTGCTTCAAAGGACAAAATCAAGAAAGTAAAAGACAACACTGGGAGAAAATATTTTGCAAATTATATATATGATAAGTGATTTGCATCTAGAATAGATGCACCACTGGTTCAGATTTTATTTATTGTCTGTCTCTGCCAGCAGAA